TTGATATAACTCCTATAAAGAATTTCCATAACTGATGAAGTACAAACAAAAAGAAATTTCTGCGCTCTTTAGGCGTTTTTTAAGTTTTTCTGGAAGAATATATCAAGCTACTATTCCATAAGAACAATAGTAAAAAATAAAGTTTAACTATAGCTACCCTGAATGATGATGCTGATAGTTTTTAATTATAATTTTAAATGGTGGAAAAAATTACTATTTCTAATAAAATCAACCACAAGTGGCTTTTCGTTTGATTTATTATTAGAAAACTGGTTGGATAAATCGGGAGGTCGTATGGTTGTATTTTTAAAACTGGTTTTAACAGGTAATAAAAGGGCCGTAATATTGTATAATCTCGAATCACGAGGTTGGGTCTTTTCTCTTTAGTCCCAAAGCTTACAAATTGTGTTTTACCCACTGCGTTAAAAACGTCAAAGGTTTGAATTAATATTATTTTGAGAAATTTTCAAAATTGCATTTCGGATTAATCGACAACTTTTCTTGTCAAAATTTTCAAAATATCTGAATATCGATTAGGATTAGAAGTAGAACAATAGGATAATTTATAAAAAAAATACAAGTTGTTTCATTTAAAATTAATTATATAAAGCTGTTGACACAAACTTCCTGCAGGCAACAGATTTTTTTAACTCGTCAAATTCGTAAATTATTTTGCCAACTTTTTTTGGCTAAATTTTGGATGATGCAAATCCTTCCAGGAGTACGCGTGCGAAATTTGGCTGATGCGAATCGCCTTCCGATATTTTTTTATCGCCCGTTTATCTCACCATATTGACTCGATTTTTTTATTGCGAGCGACTATTAATAGAAAATTTGACACGTTTTTTATTGCCAGATATTATTAGATATTAAAAAATAACAAAACAAATACTCGATTCTTAATCGGTCAATAGAAATAAACGCGTTGGGATTGGTGTAATGTATGTCAAGTACTGTAGTGCATGAAGTAAACTACATTATTGTATTCGTAGATTTGTTGATTTCGATGATTTTCCAATGGAATTTTAGTTTATTATGGGGATTATTTCATAAATGATTGAGCCTTGTTAAGCCTCATCGTTTAGACTTTAGACTAAAAACAACCTGTTCTCAAATAGAAAACAATATAATTTTTTTAATTTTTTAATTGATTTTTTATGGAATAGTAAAGAGTGCAGATAAAACTTTTTGCTATGATTTTTTACTCAAACAGTAACACATATAGTCATCTATTAAAAAAACCCAAAGAGCAGTAGGTAATTATTAAGGGGAGCTATTACAGTTAATTGTTTGGCGTGTATACGCTTTTATTAGTTGTAATTATTTGTACTTACTTATTGTATACACAATATTTTTATGGTTATACAACAATGTACTCATTGTTGTACACTTTTACCTATGATTTTGACCTATAACTAAGCGCTCTGCGCGCAAGTACCGCTATGTTCGAATAAATTTGCATAATTGCATCATTGACCTATGGAGATAATTGTAAAAATTAATCAAAATAATGTTTATTTTGCGGGCGTTAACGAAATCGCAGAGTCTTGACACGCTTCCTATATACTTACAAAAATTATAATTATATCCACTTGGCTATCGCCTCGGAAAGTAAACTGCGCTTTCGTGATAACATCGACCCGAAAAACGAAAAATACAACTATAAATTCGTAATAAAATATTTGTTTGTGTACGTTTTGGCTTCGACCACCAGTAACATAAACTCGAGAAAACTCATAATAAATATTAGACTATGTTCTATTACGTACGAAAATCGAAAATTATTTTGGAGAAAGCCTAATCTTCTGGCTTTGTTTCCAACGGCAAAAGCAATAAATTAAAAAAATTCTACGGCAGTTAATGCGTGGAGTTCGGAATAAATCGAATTCATTTCACTCCAAGGTTAAATTTTCGAAAACAAAATTATTGGCGTATAAAAAGTTCTTAGTAATTGTAAGGTTAAATGGCATTTTCAATTATTTCAATTATTAAATTTTATTGTAAAATAACTTAAATTGCAAATAAATGACAAATTTTTAAAGGGGAAAAATTATAATTTTGTATAATTTTAGAAATGATTTTTTACGAGTTTAGTTTAATTAACTCCATGATTTCTAAAATTATCTTATTGGTTTTTTAAAGAGGGTGTTGTTAAATGCCATTTTGTAGTAGGACGTACGGAAGGGAATATTTAATCAAAATCATGAAAAATTGAACAGCTTTTGTTCAAATGAAACTGTTTATTGTACAGTATGTACCTAGATTGTTTTACCAGTTTGCTAGTCTTACACACTTTAATATGATTGGAAAGTTTCTATTTGAGAGCTTCAGTTTTTTTATAGTGAGCCTTAATAATTTGATTTTAACAGCAACTTGCGAGAGATTAGTCAAAACTTCGATGGAAAATTACACTCGTTTTGTTTTTTAACTATCATCTCTAAAAAAAATGGACACAGCTGAAACGAATGTAATAATATTATACGTATCGTTCGGTTAACTACTCTACAAGCTTAGAAAGGAAAAAAAAACAACCAAATGATATAACCAGTTCTCCTTTGTTTTGGTGAAGCGTAAAGGACCGAACATACTGTATAGATCAAATTATGTAATAATTGCCGTTTTCTTCTCGACAGCCCACGTTATTGTTCAATGTCATGGTGACTTTGAATCATGATTAACTTATTTATTTCGGCGTTTTTTACCATCCAATACCTCATTTCAGCTCAATCCTTAATCCAACTATAACATATATTTTTTTAACTTATAGATTATGAATAAATCATCTAATCACAATCGCTTGATTGCCCAAACAAATTACTTCTCGATTTTTAAGAAACCAATTTAGAGAAACCTCGTTTAGATTATGTATATTTTTCGACTTCAATACCGTCCTTAACGAACAACAATGAATAATAATCTAAAACAATGAAGTCGATGTGATTTTAATCTTGCAATTAATCAATTTAAAGGCAGCCGATACAATCTCGAATTGGAGTATTTTGTAGCATCTACCACTCACGCATCGAATGATTCGTCTTCGAATAGGGTCGAGCGTATTATTAGAAAAGGTTATGCAGATTAAAAGTGCAGATACAAGACGAAAATAGACGGGTTTTTTAACTCTTTTGTTAGTCTTTGTCAGGCCGAGATGGTCTACCCCAAGCTAGGTTTTTTATAGTGCAGGTCCTCTTTGGTACCTGCAATAAGTACTTTTTAGTGATCAATATATACTGCTCCACAAAAGTTAAGGAAGTTCACAAATATTGAGATAAATTTAAAAGTTGCAGGTTTTTTGATCGCTAAATTTAGTATGAATTGTAGTGGTAGGGGTAAAAAATCCACTTAGATATGAGAGAAAACATTTAATTTCGCATATTTGAAAATTTGGTGATCAAAAAGTCTGTAACTTTTAAAATAATCGCAAAATTTGCGAACTTCCTTAAATTTTGTGGAACAGTTTATTAAAATTATACAAAAATAGTGTAAATTCAGTAGCAAAAAAGAGCATAAGAAAATGTATAAAACCACCTAAGGTTTCGAACTTTAAGTTTTGTGCTTGAGACTGTTAGAAGTAAAATAAGACTAAAATAAATAACAAAACTAACTCCAACTAAGAAAGAACTAAACACCTTTGTTCGATGTCTTTTATTCCAGATTCTATTTAGATAGGGTCATGCATAAAAGACCTTATATATCGCAGTTTTGAGGGGCTCCATGCGACCTACATTCAACTTGTCAGAATCTACGATGCAATGCTGATAATGTGGATATTTTTATTTTGGAGTACCATTCGGACTACTCGCAGGGCATTGTGTGTTTTTCGAATCTAATTATAGAGATTCAACAACATCGCGTAGGTACACATGCCAGGTTTCGGTGTTGTAACGTCGATGCAACGCACTCGCGAGAGATCAAATAATACAAACGGAGATCGTTGCAGTTTGTTTTTTCAATAAAAACATTTTTTTCCGAAGGAATCTTTTTGAAAATGTTGAACTTTTTTCACAGCTGTGTCGAAATAACGCACAGTTCACCTCCAAACGGCAAACAAAACCGGCCGAATGTTGGTGAACCTTGTTTGTTTCTCTTCCCATAAAATTGACAATAACATTCTGTTATCGGTTAGCAATTGTTAAAAGTTCAAATACTTTTTTTAGCTTTGACACTGGAATAATTGAGAAGTTTGTAGGTGTTTTCAGCCTACTATTACACGTGGCTTCCCTAATATTTTTAACTCAAATCCACCTTGTATATTCAAAGAAGTAGTTTTGAAAAGATCTATCATTATAGGACAATCTGTATAATAAATAGGGAGTTTTTGATTAAACGGTGCCGTGCCCACTTCGACGATATAAATCGTAACGACACTATTCACCGGCACTGAACGAAACAATGAATAATTAGAGCTCATTAAAGTGCAAAAAAATGCTTCGATAATGTTAATATGTCGACGTGAGTCACACCAATAATCGCACGTAAAATTATAATTTTCGATCGGAGCATGTAAAATATATTTTTTTGATATGTAAATGTAACTAAATTTTGTAATACCAACCGACCCTGAATCTGTTTTTTACTAATTAATCACTATTTGATATATTAATTTATTAACCAAATTTACTAACATTATTATTATAGTATATTATTTAATAATTATTATACAGTGTTAATAAGCGTTACATTTTTTTATTTGTAGTAGGTGATAAATTTATAAATAAGCTCTTTTAGAAGCTTCCATTTTAGACCTAGATCCTCTGAAGATGTTACTAATGACTAAACATGTCTTCAAAATGTAGCTAACACATGAAGCTGAGTATACCTACAATTAAAAATGAGTAGCCATCTTCAAAGGGCTCTAGGTACTAGGTCACAAATTAAAGTTCCGAGTACACATATGTACATGGGAATTATTCTATATAATTTTGCTTAAAATAGTACATACTGTAATACTGTTCACTACATGTATATTAAAATTTTAATTTTTTTTTGATTTATTGCAGACAGATGAAATTATTGGAGGCGATACTACCTAGAGACCCCGATGAACAAAAGTTGTATTTGCTCAGTGTCGTCGAGGGCGAAATGAAAATCGTCATCAAAGAAATGGACATAGAACGAATGATGTATTATTTAACAGAGGTAAAATCTACACATTAACATTTAATTTCTGTTCCCTCAGGAAATACATCCGAGTCTTTAGGAGTGCGATGGGCCGGTTTCATTAAAGAACAACTCGATCCATCGACTTCGCTGTACATGCAGTGACTTCTGACTGGGTAAAAATAGGTATAACGTGTTCTTTTTTGTTGCGTTCGGTCCGAAGAAACCGGAGAAGCGAGCGAGAGATCGAATCTGATGGGGCACAGCTCGGATTAGATGCAACAACAATCGAGAGAACTAGGCAATTACAGAAACCAGTTATACGGGATCGTGATTTGTTAGGACGAGAGTCGAGAGTCGATTATAAACGTTACATATACAGAGGTTGGGCTGAAAGACATGGCACTGTTATCGAGATTAATTCAACCTTTTTTTTAATTCTTCTTCTTGCTTTCTGTTTGTTCGTTTTAATGCGTTTAGCCAGAGCAATGGTGTATGCGTGTAAAGGTAGAGAGACAGGGAATACGTGTATAGCTTCGAATTTTTTTTGTGGTTCTTGTACTCGAAACGTTGATAAACGCATTGACTAGATCGACTGGCCGAGAATGGAGAATCATCTAATGGACAATCATCTAATCTCTAAAAATATTTCAAGATCAATTTAATTACATACATGCTTTATTAGGATCTTCTTCTAAGATATATCTTAATAGCTAAGTAGTATAAATCCCTTCTAATTTTCGTTCTTTATTTGCACGATGAATGCCTGATTTTAGTGTAAGGGTTGACTATGTACCAAAATTGTACCTACCGCTAAAAAGTTCCCAAAAAATCGTTGATGTTTAAAAATAACCTATTACCTGATTACTACTTATAGAAGTAAATCAATTCCAAAAAATTACTGGTGCTAAATTTTTCCAAACAAGTTTATACATAAACGCATAATTAAAGATGTGAACAATAAAATGGACAAGCTTTTATTTAGCTTCACGTGTTATTCAAAAAACGATAAAATTAGAAAGTCTGAATAAAAACGGTCCGATTAATTTCGTTTCTAATTTAAATAACAATAGAAAACTATAGGAAAACGAATTAATTTCAAAAAACATCCGAGGCTATTTGTAACATTGTTTATGGGCAATATATTTGTAGTTTTTAAAAAGTAGATACATGTTAATTAATTCATGTTCATTAATTCCTCAATCATTCTCTAATAAAATTCTACTGGAAAAATCCGTAATATATGTAGGTAGTAAAGATTCAATAGTTACATTTACAGTTAGAAAAACAAAATAAAGAACTCTCCATTAAGGAAGAACAAATACAGGTTTTTACCTGTATTGAATATACTCCAGGACTTACATATGTACATACATACTTCCTTATTAGTCATGTGGGTGATCTTTTACAATTTGAAACTAATTGCAACTAAATATCAACAAGTTGTTGTGCTGGTACCTACTGTGAGTATCACCTATAAGTACCAGATGTGAATTTATAATTGATATAACAACCACAAAAGACCGATTACTTATACGATTTCATTACCATACAAACGTGACCTCCATGTAACTTTCACTATTATTATAGTGCTAAAACTGCTAAATCTACGCTATATGTTACATACATTACAATTCAAAATAAATGGCGTACTATTCCTATGGTATATGCAACCAATGTAGCATTTAAAAGGAGTATAATATGTATTGAAATTTTAGGGTATAGATGCCGAAGATCTTCCACCGTTCGACAACGAACTGTTTACTTGCATAAACTCCAGGATCCCGCACAAGTTTAAAATTTTGAAATACTACGGCAAAATCCATGCGATTTTGGTAAAGGAAGTGCATAAGTACCATTGCGCTTACATGAGAGAGCACATCCTGCGGTACGTCCTAAAAAGCCCGGCCGAAAGAAAAAGGTGATAATGATTTCTATTACTTAATTGCTCATAGTAGTTTGACTTTGAATCTAGGTTACAGTTTCAAACATTTCCGATAATCGAGTTTCCTACGTTGTTGATACGAGCCCCAGTGCCCTGGCACACGCAAGTGGTTCTCGGAAAGCAGTTCATGGAAAAGCATTATTTCAATGGAAACATTGTCGTTAGAAAAATTCGCGATCTCTGGTGGAAGCGGTTAGTAACATAATGCTAATTTAAGAGCTCCTTTGCATATGGCGATATCTTATAGTTCCTTTATTCTAGTTCCATCGTTCTTTTGGTTCCTTCCTCCTTTAATTCCTTCGTCTTTCTATTCGTTCGTTCTTCTAATTCCTTTATTATTTTAGTTCCTTCATGATACTTCTTCCTTTATCCTCATAATTCTTTAATCTTTCTAGTTCTTTCATCCTCAAAGTTTCTTCATGCACCTAATTCATTCATTCTCCTAGTGCTTTCAACCTGATTGCTTTATCCACTTAGTTCATTCATCATCCGAGTTCCTTCTTCTTCCTAGTCCCTTTTTCCAGCCTAGTTCCTAAAGCAAATGTTTTTCTATCCACTTCAATTCATACTTAAAATTGAATTATTGCAGATACGGCGATATGTATTTGATACCGGAGACGATGTTCATACAGGAACACCGGCCCACCTTGACTCCCTACGAATTCGAAGAGACGGCCCTAAAGCGCTGCAACGACATTAGAAACGGCCTCATCAACGACTGGTTCCCGACGTGCGCCGACATATTCCTGGAGTACAAGAACGCTTGGAGAAAATACATACCGATAACGTTGACGGACACTCCCGTGTTCGTCGAACGCTTCTTCAATTGCGTCAATTTGTTGCTGTCGCTGCAGCTGCGCGGACTCGTCATGAAGAGCCTGCAGCACTACAGGGATATTTTCATTCAGTTTAAGGTAAGCGCGTTTTGATGATGATTGTTTTAATTACCATGTGAATATGTTATTCAGCATGGCAACGATTTCGGAGACGAGTACCACGATCAGATGGTGTTTAACACGCCTATAGTGACATTGATCGTGCAAGCTGTGAAAGGGAAGGCGGAGCTGATTTTCGATCCGTCTTTCGACGAAATTAGCAAGATGATCGAGCGGGTGTACGCCAAAATGTTGGAAATACATCGGAACTTATTGAAAATCGAGATTATACTGTTTCCTGGTAAGAGAATAGGTTATGATCCCTATCTTGTGTTACCCTCTATATTTTCTATAATCTTGTAGAATTCGCCAAGTTTAATCGATACTTGTCCGAAATCTCGAACACCGAGCCCGTTTTGCAAATTTATAAGGACGAAATCATCGAATCGTTCTATCCAAATGCTATCGGTCCTCAAAAGTACCTTAAAATGTACGATAGCTACGCTTATATATTAGACGGGACGGCCGCGGCTGATTTGGAGGCTTTCATGAAAACCGATCCCTTTCTAAAGGTGATTTAAAAATTCTTTGTTAAACAATAAATAATGTAATTAGTATTTTGCAGGAATACAGGAAAAAAATCGCCTATTACGAAACCCTAAAGGACGAATTGATGTATTTGAGGAACGTTATTCCCATGAACTTGTTCAATTTGGACTGCAGCGAATTGAACAAAACTCTATTTAACGCCGCGGACGGATTTAAAAATACCATTATCAATCATTTTGTCCAATTGAACAGGAACCTAAATCGAGAGTAAGCGTTTACGAAAATATCTATTTACCTCACTTACTTAAGAATACACCAACTAATGCTGGGACCTTATTGTTTCCAGAATATGCAGTACATTTGACGATATATCAGACAGAGCCAGCGGTTCTCCTGAAACCGTCGTTGAAATAGTTGGACTGCAAGTTTTCGTTACCGAATCGAGAGACATTACCATGTACAACGTCAAAGAAAAAATAAGGAAGACCGTTGAAATTTTGCTTTTCTTGATAGACTACGCTCACCTCTCCGGTAACGGTTGCAAAGAAATTGGAATTATTCTAGTTAATTACATCGTCTTTCCAGATGAGGATATAGCGCTGAACACGCGAGTATTCCAGTGGCCCAAGGACATGGACATCATCATAGAAGTATCGCTGGATAGGTTGAGCATCAAACGCGACCAGGCCGAGCTCGTGTTGAAGCAAAAGCGCGTGGCTTTCGACAAAAAAATCAAAAAGGTCGAAAAGATGTTGAACGTGTTCAAGAAGAAGGATCCTCCCATTTTGACTTTAGACGAAATGGAAGACGCCGTAGTAGGTACGTATAGAATTGACAGAGGCTAACATGTCCTAATATTATTCGTTTATTGTTAAGACATCGAACGTATCGTAAAGGTGCTATCCGAATGTAAAGTCGAAGCTGATAATATAAACGAGGAGGAGCAGCTGTTGAACTTGGACGTTTCGCCTTACATGAGCCTAGGCAAGATGTTGACCAGCGCCGATTCCTTCGACAAACTCTGGCATACTGTATACGAGTTCCATTTAAATTACGATACATGGTACTTATTTCGTGTTTGAGCTATACTATACTCTATATAGTCTACGTCGATCCTTGAAAAACTACTCTCAAATTTTGTCAACCTCCTATACCTTTTGACAAAAAAGTACCCGAGAATTCTGATTTAAATTACCTGCACTTAATATTTTTAACTATTTCAAGTTTCTGTATGTAGGTAATACTGTTCTTAATTAGCATGCAAAAAATTAGAGACATTTCTCAATCAATTTGGTTGTAGCAGCTGATTGAATCAGTTCATCTCAGTAGTGCTCTGGGAATTTTGACAATGGACAAAAATAATGAACAAAGAATTTGTCTCATATTTTGTGTTTTGAACTGAATTTAATGTTCGTTTGATTTAGTTTAACCAACCAGATATGCTGCGAATTGAGGTTCGGTTCGATTCAATTGAGCTTCAAAAACGATATAGTCAAAGAGATTAGAAATTTTGCGTTTTATTGCAACTTTCCGGGTACTTTTGTCACAGTAGTATAAGCACTAGTTGTATTTTATTTATGTTATAATAAGTACTAATTAGTTATTCAAAGCTTCGACGTAAAATAAGTTTTATTAATATTAGAGGAAATGGTATTTAATTTTCCTCTAGCATAGTATTTGTAGCCTAGTTACTCATTTTATTGAGGAATTTTCATTAGGTATTATGGACCGTTCAAAGGCTTGGATGCAGACGAAATCGCAGAATACACGGACAGCGTTTGGAAAGTACTATATAAATTGCTGAAAGCATTATCAGACAATCCGGGAGCAAAGCGAGTGGCCGAAATGACCAAAGCGAAAGTGGAGAAATTCAAACAGTTCGTGCCAGTGTTACAATGCGTTTGTAACAAAGGTTTGCAGAAAAGACATTGGGATAAGGTTATTGCCACGAAACAGTTAGAAGTTCTCATGAATTAACGAGACAAATTAATAATTTTAGATTAGTGAAATCGTCGGTGTACCTCTAGTCATCACCGACGAATCGACTTTGAATGAAATGATCGAAGCCGGCATGCCCAAATTCATAACGCAGCTCGAAGAAATCAACGGCGGCGCTACCAAAGAGCACGCACTGGAAGAAGCTCTCTCTAAGATGAAGAAAGAATGGGTCGACATCGAATTCGAATTATTGCCGTACAGGTAATTGGTACTCTGTAATGCCGGTTTTGGTTTTTCATTAAACGGACAAACAACCTAAACTCAAGTCGATGAAAATAAAACTGAACCTTTTGGTAAACTTTTTGAAGATGGTTGAATGGAGTTTTATGCTTGTTTCAGTTTTGTTTATGCTTACCAGGTTCCAGAAAACTAAAACAAAATACAAACTATACTGTCCATTTAATGGAAAACCGTCATAAGATATATTATTTGTGGAATTTGGCGTCATACTAATTCAATTCCATGATTGTACAATATCTTCTACATGTTTTTAGTACAGTTTGCACCAATTCTTCATTTAAGACTGTCATAAGTTTAAGTATTCTATGAGGTTGTCTCTGATTATCTTATCACTTCAACTTACCAGTTTGTTTAATCGTCTAACCTTTTGACAGAGATACCGGCGTTAGTATACTAATGGCAATAGATGACATTCAAGTAATGATGGACGATCATATTCTGAAAGCGCAGACGATGAGAGGTTCTCCATACGTCAAGGCGTTTGAAGAAGAAATGGCCTCTTGGGAAACGAAATTGCTGTCGATGCAAGACATAATAGAACAGTGGTTGATGGTAACAAGTTTTTTCCGAAAAATAAAACTAGTATTACTTTTTGATAATTTTGTAGTGTCAATCGGTTTGGATGTATTTGGAACCGATTTTCAGCTCCGAAGATATTATGAGGCAAATGCCTACGGAGTCGAGGAATTTCAAAATGGTCGACAGAACATGGAGAGCCATTCAAGCCAATACTTTGAAGGATACGCACGTTTTGGCCGCCACTGATTTCAAAAATATGCTGCAGCTTTTGAAGGAAAATAACAAGCTCCTGGACGACATCCAGAAAGGTTTGAACGATTATTTGGAGAAGAAACGGCTGTTCTTTCCCAGGTTTAATAAATTTTCTAATAAAGTTATATAGGAAATGTTTAAATGGATTAATTCTAGATTCTTCTTCTTGTCTAACGACGAATTACTGGAAATACTCTCTGAAACAAAAGATCCGCTACGTGTACAACCACATCTTAAGAAATGCTTCGAGGGCATTAATACTTTAGAATTCAACAGAGAACAAGAGATACTTGGAATGGTGAGCGTCGAAAAGGAGAGAGTACCGTTTTCTGTAAAGATCCTTCCAGCTGAAGCCAAGGTACATATCCTTTCACTAAAACATTCCCCTGCATTATCCCTCGATCGTTTTCAAGGGAATGGTGGAGAAATGGCTGATCCAAGTCCAATACGTCATGATACAGTCGCTGAAGGATGTAATGAGAGACTCGATTGTAAACTTCCCGCAAGTCGACCGAGAAACTTGGATACTATCGTGGCCCGGTCAGATCGTTCAATGCGTGAATTGCATCATTTGGACGACCGATGTAACAGAAGCGATATTCAAGAGCACTTTGGAGAAACAGGAGCAAGCGTGTTTGGACCAAATCGAACAAAGCGTCAAAATGGTGCAAGGTAAATTGAAGCCCAACAACCAGATGACCGTTGAGGCTTTGATCGTCATCGACGTACACGGTAAATATACAAAATTCCCTTGCCTAATACTAGCTTTGTCGTACCATTGGGAAACCCTGTATAAGTCGTTACGAATCGTGATCGGTTTCTTCTTCAGCCAAAGACATCGTGAACAATTTGAAGCAATTAAAAGTAACATCAGTTGCCGATTTCAATTGGATATCCCAGTTACGGTACTATTGGAAAGACATGGTAGTTGGAGTGTGTATGATTACCACTGAAATTATGTACGGATTCGAATATTTGGGTAACTTCGGTCGATTAGTAGCCACCCCGCTCACGGATAGATGTTACAGGTACACTTGCTGTTCATACAAAACTTTAATTTTTAACCTATCGCAATTGTTGGTTTGTAGAACTCTAATGGGAGCTCTTAAGTTGAATCTAGGAGGTGCCCCGGAAGGGCCGGCGGGTACCGGCAAAACGGAAACCTGCAAGGATTTGGCCAAAGCGGTGGCTAAGAAATGCGTGGTATTTAATTGCTCCGATGGTTTGGATTACAAAGCCCTAGGAAAATTCTTTAAGGTAATTTATTGATTTTTTTTATTCGATAATAATTTTGTCAAAATTAGGGATTGGCACAATCGGGATCATGGGCTTGCTTCGACGAGTTCAATAGAATAGAATTGGAAGTACTGTCGGTCGTGGCCCAGCAAATTTTGACCATTCAAATGGCGGTGGCCGCCAAATTGACGAAATTCATTTTCGAAGGGACCGAATTGACTTTGGATTGGAGTTGCACCTGTTTCATTACAATGAATCCCGGGTAAATTAATCGATTTAAACTTACATTTTATAGCTAATTAAACATTAAATGATATTTTAGTTACGCAGGGCGACAAGAATTACCAGATAATTTGAAGGTACTGTTTCGAACCGTCGCTATGATGGTACCCGATTACGCCATGATTGGCGCTATTTCATTGTTTTCGTACGGATTCGTTCAAGCTAACAGGTACGATGCTACAATTGTAAGTGTCTTTAAGGTAATTTCTTACCTTCTAGCTTGGCTCAAAAGATCGTGCACACTTACAAACTTTGTTCTGAGCAACTGTCGTCTCAAAATCACTACGACTACGGAATGAGAGCGGTAAAATCAGTCTTGATAGCGGCCGGAGCGTTGAAAAGGGAGTACCCGCACGTATCCGAACCGCAAATCGTCCTGCGCTCCATCATCGATGTTAATTTGCCCAAATTCCTCGCCCAAGTAAAACAATTTCACGATTAACGCGTACGATCTAATCTGATTTTTTTAAGGATATAGCTCTATTTGACGGTATAATTTCCGACCTGTTTCCCAACATCGAAATACCGAAATTCGAGAGATCGGAACTAATTGTATGCCTGGAGGCAGAAATCGAGAAGAAGAATCTGCAAGCCACCGAGTGGTATATGGAAAGGGTGATGCAAGTGTACGAAATGATTTTAGTCAGGCACGGATTGATGGTGGTCGGCAAACCTATGGGTGGAAAAACTAAAGCTTATCAGGTAGATAACAGAACGCTTTAATCCCACTTCTAACATCTAATACCATTTCCTATTAGTGCTTGGCGTTGGCTCTGCGAGCTTTGGCGAACACACCAAACGCTTACCTAGTGGAGCACGACGTCCTGTACAAAGTAATCAACCCGAAGGCGATCTCGATGGGTCAGTTATACGGCCAGTTCGATCCCACGACGCACGAATGGTCCGACGGGGTTTTGGCGAATACGTTTAGAGAGTACGCGATCAGTCCGACCAGCGATAGAAAGTGGATACTCTTCGACGGTCCAGTGGACGCCGTGTGGATCGAAAACATGAATACAGTATTGGACGACAACAAGAAATTGTGCCTCATGTCCGGGGAAATTATTCAAGTAAAGAGAAGCTGTTGTGCCGCAATCGGTACTGATGCCTGTTTTTGCAGATGTCACCTCAAATGAACCTCATATTTGAGCCGGCCGATTTGGAGCAGGCCTCTCCGGCGACGGTGTCCAGGTGCGGTATGATATACTTCGAGCCGCACTTGCTCGGCTGGAAGCCGTTTATGCGATCGTACTTGAACACTTTGAGCAACTTACTGCTTCCCGAGCAACTGGAGTTGCTCAACGAGTGCTTGGAATGGTTGGTGCCGGCTTGCTTGGAGCAGGTCAACAAATCGAGAAAGTTCGTCGAAACCTCCGACATTCATCTCTTCTACGTAAGTATATCGTAACGATTTTTCATAACTAATTCGATTTTTTTGTAGTCTTTTACGCGTCTCTTCACTTGCATGTTACGAGATGAAACGCAAGTGAGTACCGTCTGGTTGCAATGCATGTTCGTGTTCTGCTTGTGCTGGGGTCTGGGCTCCACGCTCACATCGGAAGGTAGAAAGCAATTCGACGTGTTCTATCGAAAACTTTTGGCCGGCGAGAACAAGAAGCATCCGAAAAGCAAGTCGTTCAAGCTGTCCAAAAACCAGCTGTTCCCGGAAAGGTCCGTGTGCTTCGATTTCGTTTACGACAAGAAGAACAACGGCACTTGGATAAATTGGACGGAAACTATTGAAAAAATAGAAAAGATACCGATAACTGCGAAAGTATGAATAATAATGGTTTGTACGAGTAGTTAATTTTTCTATTCGTATGATAATTTTAGCCTAGCGAATTGATCATTCAAACGAACGAGTCTTGCTTGATGAAGTTCTTTTTGAGAATTTGCCTGGAAAATGGTATACCTATAATGTTTATCGGGCCGACTGGCACAGGAAAATCGGCCGTGGTGATTGAACACATGTTAAGCATGCCCAGGGAAGGTTTTACTCCTAATATAGTAAACTTTAGCGCCAGAACATCTTCCAGTTTAGTAAGTAAACTACTAATAACCCTACATGAAAACGGTTCAGAATTTGGGGGCAATCTCCGCGTTAGGATAGTGCAGTCCTTCATTTGAAAAAAAATATATATTCTTTAGACTCAAGAAATGGTAATGTCAAAACTGGATAAAAGAAGAAGAGGTGTGTATGGTCCTGCAATGGGAAAGCAATGCCTGCTTTTCGTAGACGATTTGGGAATGCCTCAAAAAGAGCAATGGGGTGCCCAGCCTCCAGTGGAGTTGCTCCGGCATTACCTCGACCACGGATATTGGTTCGCCAAAGACACGACTATGTTGTATTTAGTCGATATAGTAAGATTCTCTGCATCAGGATTTACCCGACATGAATTCGCTTGTAGTTGTTTGTAGGAGCTATGGGAGTACCCGGGGGCGGTAGAAACGAAGTAACCGACAGGTTTTTAAGACATTTACAGATCATCACCATCGACTCGTTCGACGACAACACTTTAGCGAAAATATTTACAACGATCTTGGATTGGCACTTTTCCAAAGGCTACGTAGATGATGTAGCTCGACTATCAAAGGTTAATGATTTTACGTTTTCGTATGTGTTAGTTTAATATTCAATGTGGTTTGCAGTTTTGCGTGGCAGCGACTACGGAAGTGTACAAAATGGCGATTAACAAATTTTTACCGACTCCTGCTAAGTCTCATTACACGTTCTCTTTGCGAGATTTTTCCAGGGTGATTATGGGTCTTCTGTTCACACCGCCGGCGATGATGGATAATCCCGATAAGTTTATCAGAATGTGGATTCACGAATCGTACAGAGTGTTCCACGATCGATTAATCGATGACGCTGATAGGTAAAGATTTCTAAATTTCTTTGCATTAGACAAAATCTGATTCTTTTTTCTAGGCTTATGCTTTTCGAAATCGTCAAAAATGCATCTTATAACGGATATAGACAGCCCATGAACAAAGTATGCGCCAATATAATCCCAGAGGACGGCATTTTAGGGCCTCACACAGTGAGAAATCTATTTTATGGCAACTACATAAATCCCGACGCTGATATCAAAATTTACGACGAAGTAAGTAACTTTGTCTGCGGCAAATAAAATATTTTACTTCGATTAATTAACATTTCAGATTACCGATATGGATGATTTGATAGAAAAAATGAATTTCTATCTATCCGAATACAATCTCATATCTAAGAGCCCGATGAACTTGGTGATGTTCAAGTTCGCCATAGAACACGTCTCTAGAGTATCGAGGGTGTTGAATCAACCGAACGGCAATGTATTATTAGTCGGTGTTGGAGGATCCGGACGACACAGCGCCGCTAAACTGGCCACTTTCATGGCCGATGATGCCATTTTCGAGGTAATTAAATGCCTCAATTGATGCTCTCTTGAGTTCACCCTTTGCTTCTCGACTTATCGGAACCTTTCTTAACACACCAAGATCGTCTCCATTGTTGCAGATTGAACTCTCCCGTACCTATGGTACAATCGATTGGAGGGACGACTTGAAAAGATTGTTAATGCGAGCCGGATTGGAAGGTAAACCTATCGTGTTCCTTTTCGCCGATACGCAAATATCAGACGAAGGTTTCATCGAAGATGTCAACACGATTTTAAACACAGGCGACGTGCCCAACTTGTACACGCCCGATGAAAAGGCCGACATATTGGACAAGATTCAAAACATATTGAGAGAAAGCGTAAGCATAAAATAAAGCTCAAGAAGCGGGAGATTTAATTTTTTGGTATATTTCAACAGGGTGTTAAAAAATTTGACGCTACGCCATTAGCTCTTTACACGGCTTTTATCGAGAGAATCAGGGGAGCTCTACATTTAGCTCTGTGTTTCTCACCTATCGGAGAATCTTTCCGTGTTAGATGCAGGATGTTTCCTTCGTTGATCAACTGTTGCACGATCGATTGGTTTCAAAATTGGCCCGACGATGCTTTGGAAATGGTAACATATCGTTCACATATCGTTTCCAAAAGATATCTGGTTCTTATTTCAACAGGTGGCTCAAAGTTTTCTCGGTCAAACCGACATATCGCCGGAGATGACCTCCATTTGCGTCGACATTTGCAAGCTATTCCACGTCACAACACAGGAATATTCCGACCGATTCTGGCTGGAACAAAGACGCAAAACCTACGTCACTGCTACGGCGTTTTTGGAATTGATCCAGACTTTTAAGGCGCTGTACGCGCTGAAAGTTTACCAAATCAACATGCAACGAAACAGGTACTGTTACGGGTGATTGTAAAGAATATAATTAAGCAAAAATCGCTGTGTTTAGATACGAAATGGGACTGGAAAAGCTCGACTTCGCAGCCGGCCAAATTGGCCTGATGCAGCTCGAATTGCACAACTTGCAACCCCAGTTGGTCATCGCATCGGCCAATACCGAAAAATTGATGGTGAAAATCGAGCAGGACGCTGTTATAGTCGAAAAACAGAAAGAGGTTATTTGCTAAAATGCTTTTTTTGCATAACTCAATTTTGTTTTACTAAATAGTTGTTGGTAGTAACTATTAATCATTTGCATTTGTGTTGTGCAGATTGTAGGGGCAGATGAGGCATTGGCCAACGAAGCTGCCGCAGCATCGCAGGCCATCAAAGACGATTGCGAATCGGATTTAGCGGAAGCCATTCCAGCCCTCGAGGCGGCAGTAGAGGCCTTAAATACGCTGAAACCGGCCGATATTACTGTCGTAAAATCCATGAAAAATCCACCGTCGGGTGTAAAACTTGTGATGGAAGCCGTAAGTACTCGTTAAAACACCAAATGAATCCATGTATTAACACATGCTAAGGAAATTTGCATAGGTTTGCGTAATGAAGCAAGTGAAACCAGATCGAAAACTGGACCCCTCGTCGGGAAAAATGATCGACGACTACTGGTCATCGTCGGTGAAAGTCTTGGGCGACATGAAATTCCTCGAGAGCTTGAAGAACTACGATAAAGACAACATACCGCCGAGCGTGATGAAGAAAATTCGCGAAAGGTAACGCTTTACGCTATAAATTTTCGCCATAAACCTCCACACGCGTTCTCGTTTCAGGTACCTACCGGACAGGGAGTTCGATCCCGTTAGGATCCAAAGCGTTTCCGCCGCCTGCGAGGGTCTGTGCAAATGGGTGCGAGCCATAGAAGTCTACGACAGGATCATTAAAATCGTCGCTCCCAAGCAGAAGGCTTTGGCTGCCGCCGAGGCGGAATTAGCCGTCCAAATGGACAAACTGAATTCTAAAAGAGCTCAGTTACAAGAGGTACATATCCTATAAACCTTTCTATAATTTCTTGTATCTTTTTTAAACTACTCCTTGGTAGTTCTACAGCTGCCCTGGCATGTCCTCAGTTCAGCAGGAGCTCTGTCTAAGGCCCTGCAGAGTCTAAAATTTAAACCTTATAAATCCCGATAATCTTTTGAATAAATATCGTTGTCTTTAGGTAGCCGATAAGCTGCAAGCGTTAAACGACGATTTCGCCGCCGAAATGAAAAAGAAAAAAGACCTGGAGGACGGCATCGATCTCTGCGGTCAGAAACTGGAGCGAGCCGAGAAGTTGATTGGAGGTTTGGGCGGCGAAAAGGTTCGTTGGTCTGAAATAGCGGCGAATTGTAAGGTTCTGTTACACAAGGTCATCGGCGACGTACTTCTCTCGGCCGGTACTATCGCCTATTTGGGACCTTTCACCGTTAACTACAGGTATGTAAAACATTTTTAACGAGCTACTAAAATCAGGAAAATAATTTAGAACTGTTTTAGAACCGACTAGAATCATTTTTAACGATTCAGGATAATTTAAAAATTATCTAGAACTATTCAGAATCATTTAAAACTGCTTTAGAACCGACTAGAATCATGTTTACCAGTTCAAGATAATTCAAAATCATCTAGAACTGTTCAGAATCATTTAGAACTGTTTTAGACCGACTAGAACGATTTTGAACAGTTCTTAAAATCATTTAAAATTGTTCAGAATTATTTACAGCTGTTTTACAACCGACTAGAATCATTTGAAATAGTTCAGGATAATTTTAAAATCATTTAGAACTGTTCAGAATCACTTATTACATTATTGCAGGAATGAACTCATAAGACAATGGAACGACTACTCGTTGGAACAGGGCATACCTTGCTCTGATAATTTTTCTCTGGTGATTACAATGGGAGAACCTGTGGTAATAAGAGCTTGGAATATAGCAGGATTGCCCATTGATAACTACAGCGTAGAAAACGGTATTATATCCACATCGGCGAGAAGGTGGCCTTTAATGATAGATCCTCAAGGTGAATAATTGTAATTCGTAAATACAGGAAAAAGGAAAGCATTCTCAAATGATGAGGAAGTAATATTTTACAAATATGGAACGTTTTCTTTCTTCAAATTAGGCCGTATTTATAAAAAGGAGCATAACCTTTCGCTTTGAAAAAATAAAGGAATTGCTTCAAGGTATATGCATAAAAAGAAGTGAAGGAAAAGGGGTTTTGCTTCGAGCATCCTGCTGTTGCTTTAAACCAAAAGGTTTTATAGTTTTAAAACCTTTTTCTCATACTTTTGCTTCTACATTTTACTTCAAAGTGTATGCTTCTTTTTTTAAATATGGACTGTTGAATCATTTCTTAACTAAGTATTAACCATAACACATAATTTAGGACAAGCGAATAAATGGGTGAAGAACATGGAAAAATCCAACAAGCTCACCGTGATCAAGCTAACCGACAGCAATTACGTGAGAATTCTAGAAAACGCCATCACCTTCGGTACGCCGGTACTGCTCGAGAACATCATTGAGGAAATCGACGCCATTCTGGACCCCATTTTGGTCAAGTCGATATTCAAGCAAACGGGCGTTTGGTACATGAAATTCGGCGACAACGTCCTCGAATACAACTTCGATTTCCGATTCTACATCACCACCCGATTGAGGAATCCCCATTACCTGCCCGAAGTGGCCGTCAAAGTCACCTTGGTGAATTTCATGCTGACGCTGCAAGGATTGCAGGACCAATTGTTGGGCATCGTCGTGGCGAGAGAAAAGCCCGAATTGGAGGAGAAAAAGAACGAAATGATCGTCGAAAGCGCAAACAACAAGAGAACTTTGAAGGAAATCGAAGATAAGATTCTTGAAGTACGTTTTGCCATCAAAATCTTTACATTACAGCTATTTGCACGCGATTTTTTAGGTGCTATCATCGTCTGAAGGTAACATCTTAGAAGATGAAACGGCGATAAAAATCCTATCTACCAGTAAAGTTCTATCGGAGGACATCCAAATAAAGCAACAACAAGCTGCAATAACCGAAGTAGAAATCGACACGGCTCGTAACGGATACATCCCCATCGCAAAACACGCGGCCGTTTTGTTTTTCTGCATCTCCGACATGGCCAACATCGACCCGATGTACCAGTACTCGTTGAATTGGTACTTCAACCTGTTCGTCTCTTCCATATTGAACAGCCCGAAATCCGATAATCTGGAAATACGATTGAAGTATCTCACCGATCATTTGACGCTCAACGTGTACCAGAACATTTGCAGATCGCTCTTCGAGAAAGACAAGTTGATATTTTCCATGGTACTATCGGTGGGAATACTAAGAGCTCACGTACGTACTTTATAAGAAGTTTTATATAGGACTGCGATGTCGCGATTATTTCGTAGGGTCAAATAAACGAGGAAGTATGGATTTTCCTTCTAACAGGCGGCGTGGCGTTGGAGAATCCTTTTCCAAATCCATCGCCTGAATGGTTAACCGAGAAAAGTTGGTCGGAAATCGTCAGAGCCAGTAATTTAGATGGGTACTAATTATATGTAAAACAAATCACCCTAATATAAATAATGCTATTTTATGCAGATTGCACGGTTTTAAAGAGTCAGTTGAAAGCAATAACGCCGCCTGGAGGAAATTTTACGACGTGTACAATCCTAACGAGATACCTTGTCCGGAACCGTTCCACACCGCTACTGGTTTGATTAGATTGATTTTATTGCGTTGCATAAGACCCGATAAAATCGTTCCTGCAGTACAAGTACGTTAATTATAACTATTAGAAGCAGCCAAGAAAGACAAACATTTCTTAACCCCTAACCTTGAGAAGCGAAGAGATATTTTCTATGGTTGCATTGATTAATTTTTGTAGAATTATGTGGTGGAAGAGATGGGCAGAGCTTACCTGGAACCGCCGCAATTCAACATAGAAGCATCCTACAACGACAGCAACAATTGCTCGCCTTTGGTGTTCATTTTATCGCCCGGATCGGATCCGATGGCCGGATTGATTCGTTTCGCGGCCGATAAGGGCATCGTTAAACAGCAGTTGCAAACGATCTCGTTGGGTCAAGGACAGGTGAAGGAGGAAATTTGTTAACTAGATTTGATCGGTTCTTCAACATATTTACCTTTAGGGTCCCATTGCTGTGAATATGATCAACATTGGCTTGGAGACCGGCAGATGGGCTGTGTTGCAGAATTGCCATTTGGCCGAGAGTTGGATGAGAGAACTGGATCGAATTTGCACCGAAGTGTTGGTACCCGAAAATACGCATCCGAATTTCAGATTGTGGTTGACCAGTTATCCCAGTACCGCGTTCCCTGTCTCTATCCTACAAAATGGTAACTGCAACGCACAATATTACAGTCAAGTTAACTATTTATGTTTCATTTCAACAGGAGTTAAAATGACGAATGAAGCGCCCAAAGGATTGAGGCAGAATTTATTGAGATCCTACACCTCCGATCCGATATCGGATTCGAACTTCTTCAATCAGTGTCCTAATACTAAAGCTTTTAGACCGTTGTTGTTCTCGCTGTGTTTCTTCCACGCCGTCATACAGGAACGCAGGAAGTTCGGACCGCTCGGATGGAACATCCCCTACGAATTTAACGAATCCGATTTGAAGATTTGTCTCTTGCAGTTACAGGTGAGCCATCATCCGCTGTCTTTCATTAAGAACTTGGACTATTTTGTATACCGGATTCGCTTTTTTGGTAGACCCCAGTAGGTCCCTGGTGCTTGCGTTCACAATATTGAAGATATTAAACGCCAAAGTGCTCTTATCAGAACTATTTGAAGTTCCAACAGTAGCTTAAAACATGCTGATATGTTTTCTTCAGATCTACGATTGATCCTTATTTTATGTAGTGTTTGCTTTGATATCCAGTATCCTATTAGTAGTGTACGAGTATTGCACATTGCCTGGAGGAACTGTTTAATGGCAAGATTTCTCCCTCTAATCTATTTCAGTATCTAACAACTTCGGGAAAGTAGCTTTTGCTGCGACTTCAGCTTGCAAAACAGCCAGTGTTTCCTATTAATTCCTCTACATTTAAGCCTTTATTAATTTCGTTTCCTCCATCTAGATGTTCCTCACCGATTACGTTGATGTTCCCTACGATGCTCTATCGTATCTAACTGGAGAATGCAACTACGGCGGACGTGTAACCGACGACAAGGACAGGAGGTTGATTATGTCGTTGCTTTCGACATTTTACGCGCCGGGAGTGGTGCACAAGCCGGGGTACCCCTTTTCGCCCAGCGGTATTTACGCTGTACCTCTCGATCCAACTTGGGAGAACTGCTTGGAGTACATCAAAAGTTTGCCTATCAACGCTTCGCCTGAGGTTTTCGGTCTGCACGAAAACGCCGATATAACGAAGGATAACCAAGAAACTGCCAATGTATGTAATTTTGTAGCAAAAAGGTGCTGCTAGCATGTAATATTTTATGAAATTTCATGTGTAGATGCTGTCAGGAATACTGTTGACCCAGGCTCTTGCTGCTGGAGGAGCTGGTGAAGCCGACGCTCAGGCTGCAATAGTCTACCTAGCTAACGATATATTGAATAAAATACCACCGGAATACGATTTGGAAGTTATAAGGGTGCAATATCCTGATATGTACACCAATTCTATGAACACAGTATTAAAACAAGTAAGTATTTTCAAAAGAAACTTAACATATTATGTAATTGATTGTTGCAGGAATTAATTCGATTCAATCGTCTGTCGTCGGCAGTAAAGAAATCGTTGAACGACCTGATAAAAGCAGTGAAGGGTATTGTCGTGATGTCTCACGAATTAGAACAGACCTACGAAGCACTGGTTATCGGTAAAGTACCAAACTCATGGCAAGGAAAAAGTTATCCTAGTTTGAAACCGCTGGGATCCTACGTTAACGATCTACTCGCGAGGTAATAGAACGCGTATTTATCCAAAGGAAAATAAATTCATTTCGTTTTGAATTTCGAGACTGGCGTTTTTACAAGATTGGATAGACCACGGAGAGCCGAACGTGTTTTGGCTGTCTGGATTCTACTTCACTCAATCTTTCTTGACGGGCGTTCTTCAGAATTTCTCCAGAAAGGAGCATTATCCCATCGATTTCGTTCATTTTGAATTCAGCGTCAGCGAATACGAGGCGGAAACCGAAAATATGGCTCCAATTTTGGGCGTGTATTGTCGGGTAAGGATTCTAAATACGAGATATTCCTGATTCTCGTCACACTTTATCCAGTTAGCATTAATCTTCAGCGCTTCTTATATTTATTTAGTCTAAATTCTCTGGTAAGTGGTAAGGCTAGTAGCTTTATTATTAAATCTGCGCATGCAGCAAGTTAAGGAAGAAAAAGAATTTAGCGTACTTGTACACGTAAGTAAAAAGTATTACCTAATGTGAGATTATAGGGGCATGTGAAAAATTATATACATACGAAAAGAGGAGACAATTCATTCAAGCAAAAGGTTTATTTGTAATGTTATTTGTGTCCTCTTTTACGTATCAATGAAAACAGTAAACTAAAATCGAATTGATAACAGGGCTTGTTCATGGAAGGAGCCAGATGGGACAGAAAATTGAAACGAATAAACGAGTCCTTTTCTAAAATACTTTTCGACACCATCCCCATACTGATCCTGAAACCCGCTCTGATAGCCAATTTCGTCCCGTATCCCATGTACAAATGCCCGGTGTACAAAACGAGCGCCAGACGAGGAGTGTTGGCGACCACGGGGCATTCGTCGAATTTCGTCATGTTTATCTTGCTGAATTCGAATATGCCGGAGAAGCATTGGATTAATCGCGGCGTCGCCTCGCTCTGTCAACTCGACGATTAATATTCCGGTATGAATTTTTAAATTTATTTTAAATATCTACTGTAATATAAACGGATACTTTTAATACATTTTTTAACTAATTGAATGTTACTTTTTGGGTCGTATGGTAGGTAAGTATTGTACAAGAAGAACTTTTGGACAAAGCGAGAACAAATAGAAAAAATTAGAGCTTACCTCGATTTTTCGCTAGACCAGGGGTTTCCTAGTAGGTGCCTACACCCTGGTTATGATTATTATCAAAATATTTCCTTTAACGTAGGAAATACAGTGTGAAGATCAAACTGCTTAATTAAATTTTAATTTATATTCCATAATAGCAAATAGTAAATTCTAAGAGTACAATTCAATACATTTCCTTAATTAATTCATACAAAAGTTTCAATTCGACTATTTAAAACGAATTTCTCGATCATCAAATGCTTCAAAATACAACTCAAATTTAACAAAAATTAAATTAAAACTTTTGTTTACAATCGTGCGCAAATAAAAATTCCTAAATATAGAAAAGAATTAACTGTATCGATAAACTAATACTAATATAAATAAATTATTGGAATAAATATTTTCAAATATACTTTTATATAATTGTTATAAAATATCACATGAAATAAATAGTATAAAAATGAAGTTAGAAGTAAAAAAAAGACGCTCAACCTACAAATGGACGAACAACAAAAATTATTCAATTAAAACGATACGGAATTGTTTTAATTAATAAATTTTTCTTTAAACAATAACGGATACTAAAGTTGATTAGTTTATATCATTATTACTTAAATGAAAACATTAATTACATTTCGAATTATTTTTATAATCATAAAAATATTGTTGTAATTCCGGAATAATTTTTGTAATTAAATAACTTACGTAGCTAACAACGCAACATACATATCAAACTAACTAACAATAAATACTTCGAATAGAAAATTGCCCAAAATCTCTTAAGTTTAGTTGACAGTTGGTGACTTCTCCTCAATCAGGGAGATAGCCAACCGTCTCTGTCCCGGGGTAGGGTCTGGGGTGAGTGCGGACGACTTCGACAGTATTGTCGAAGCGACATTCGCCCACCTCGGCTCCCCAAAATTATCGAGGAGGGTGGCGTTCACCCCTTCCCCCCAGGTCGCGGTCCAGATGGCCGACACCATCGCCTCCCTAACCAGGGCGCTCGGCGACCGTGTGGCCACTGGCCACACTGGCGTCGCTGGGCGACAAACCGTAACTGGGGGGGCTAAGAGACCTACCTCAAACACCAGCAAGAAGCCGGTAAGAGGCTCCCCGGCACAGTCCGGCCCCGCGGGGGCTGAGCTCCAAACGCTTCAGGCGTGGCTCCTTAGTAAGGGGCTACGCTCAATGAAAACCTCGAATTGGGGCACGATATGCCGCATTTCAGGGCGTTCGGAGCGGGAGTTTCGGGACTACGTCCAAGGTTTAGGCCTTGATCGGCTGCGGGCCATAAAGGCCGGCAGAACCGACGAGCCGCCCTCATGGCGTCTGGCTTTATTAAGCTGGACGACCTTGAGAGCGCGGACTGGTCGGAAGAGGTTGACGCCGAGTCGGCGTGGAACCAGATCAGGGCGAAGGCCAAGGCCATCGAATCGCGGAAACGCCGCGAACCGATGGAGACGGGCAGCGCGGAGGAAGCAGTAGAGGCCTCATTGAGGCTTCCCGCCCCTCCTGTGGCTGAGATCCCGCTGACCGCGTCCATAATGGCCCGTGAAACGGACCTGGACAGGACAGACGAGGAACACAAGCACATTCCGGCGCTGTTCCGATCTATCGTAGGTTAAACAAATAGTAATATTGGCAAATTTTTGAGCAATTTTTGTAGGGTTAGTCATAAAACTAATTTACTAAAATACAGGGTGTATTTTATTCGATATACAGGGTTCGATATCGTCAAAGAAAAATGATTCATTTTATCAGACTTACATCATTAATAATAATAGTTTGAAAGTCGACCAGAGACCACATAAAAGTGACAAGGCTTAACTAAATTCAACACTTGTTTGTTAAATTGAATGCGGAACTTATCTCACAAGTCTTGTCATTTTCATTAATTAGGTCTCATTTAATTATGTCATTATGGCACAAACGAAATATACCTCAATAAGATCGAACGATTAACGAGCAGATATCAAACGATTCACTGTAAGCAGAATTAAAATTCGCGAATCAAAATTGTCCCGTCACAATTTCAACGAAATGTAAAAAAGTCAGCATAGACAAATTTTAACCGCATACTAAAATTAAAACTGAATATCTCAATGAGGTATAAACATTGTTGTCCTAACATTTCAACGAAGCAGATCAAAATATCGCGAGTTTTAATTCACCTTCACACAGCCCTGTATGACGAAAAAACAAACAATTCTTTACAAATTATTTTCACGCATCTTAAATACCCCCTTAATAAATAACAATAAAAAAACAAACGCGAAGGACTACAATTATATAGCTTTTTCTTACCACTTTTCACTTGGCGATGAAAAATTAGGACTACCCGATTCTAACGGTTTAACCCTCCTCTCCGCCCCCGGAGCCGCCAGAAAATTGTTGGACCTCTTATTCAACTCTACAAAAATAAATAAAGCATAAAAATCGAGCAATACCAGCTCTCTGACAACCAAAGTCTATTCATATTTCAAATACGGACGATGTAAACAAATATTGGGTGAAGGTGGTTCTAATGCGCCCATCACACCCTACTTATTGTTTACTTGCTATTTGAAATACGAATAGACTTTAAATTCTTCTTGTTCCATTAAACGCTCCTAGTTATACCTGTTATAGTCAGCAGCATCTTCTTGCGAGCCCCGAACGTGCTGACGCCGATTTCGAATAGATCTTTGTCGTTTAGTGTGCAAAACAACGCCAAATCGATTTCGTTCTTCGCAAATAAACTGATGTATCTGTCCAAACCGATCGAAGACAGCACGCCCGACAGATCCTCGCAATCCAGAGTCGCCAGATTCTTAAGCAGCGTGTTCGGAGTGTGGTCCAGAATGTTGCTGGTGTGGAGGGCCGCGTTTGGCGTGTTGCAATAACTTTTGGGCGAGCTGCTCCAAACCTCGTCGTCCTGATGCTAATATAAACAATCATAATCTTCCTGCATACGCAAGTTTATTTTATGTACCTTTCTTTTGGGCGTTTCAAACAGAGGCGCAGGACTTGTGTGACTGATGTAGTAGCCCGACCAAGAATTGACCGGTCGTCTGTACGTTGCCCCGGTGGGTTTTTCCTGCATGGCTCTGAATCCTGCTAGCCTCTTACTTTGGGCTTCGTCTGGAGATAGATTGAACGAATCCTGTCTTCTATCTACAGAGGGACCGTGGTATCCCGGCGAGAAGTTCATGTTGCTCAGCATGGCAGAAAAATCTACAAACAATCGTTGAACCATTTACAAAGTATTGAATTCTTCAAATTTGCTCAAACTTGTAACCATTTCTAGCTCAAGTATGTTCTACATATACCAACTATAAACAATAGCTGAAGAAGATGAGAAGTATAAATAATGAAAACTTAAGAGCAGATACTTAAAGTAAAAACTTTAATTTTAGTCGCCTTACCGTTTTTATTACCCGAATGGCGCGGTGACGGCGACGGCGACGCCCTGGGATAGGAAATAGAACTGGAAGAGGTCGAATTGTGAGCGCTGTAAACGGGCGAGTGCAACTCCACATCGCTGTTTTGGTCCGAATCCACCAAGGAACTCGTCATCTGATTGTAACTCAAACTATGATACCTACGAACAAAACGTTACTCAAACCAAACGAATATCCATTGCTACACGAATATCTCTTACCCACTGCTGCCTACGGTGTGCTGCTGCTGCTGCTGGCAGTTGAATGATGGCTGTTGGTGCATGGCACCAGCGTAAGAGGCCTCGCTTTGCTGACTGGTCGCCAAGGGGAGGCGCCAAGCGGACGCCGGCGGCGAAGAGTCTTCGCTGGTGTTCTGTGGAGAGTGCGAATTCGCTTCCCCCTTGGCCCACGGCAGGTGGTAGGACGAGGGTATGTCCGCTTGGACGTAGAGCTCGTCCAAGCCCAAGATGTAGTTCCTAGCTTTGTATATATTCTCTGCAAAGACACATACATAGTGAATAAACAGTTTGCTAACATCAGAATGGAGTACTCACCTGCGTTCTTTTCCACCCCCTTGATAATGCAAGCCTTGGTATTGTTCTTGGCCTTCTGCCGTATGGTGATGGTGACGTCGTAGTTGTTCTGCACTTGGTCGATTTGCTCCTTCCTCAGCATCGAGTACTCCTCGGGCAGGTCGAAGATGACGATCAACGGCAGGCTGCCCATGAGCAGCTGTCTGGCCTTGTACACGTCGTGGATGTTGCCGGAGATGTTGACGTTGCTCTTCTTCAAATTGGGTATGTTGGGGTCCTGGGCGTCGGGGAACATGATGCGACAGTTGGTGAATTTCATGATCAACTTCAGATTGGTGTGGTTTTTGCCGAGGACGATGGGGTGGTGGTGCGGGGAGATTTCCATCGACATTTGGACCGGGATCTGATTCTGCAGTACGAATATAACATTCTAAATGGTGGAAATTCTAATGGTTAGTTTGCTTACCGCTAAATTTTCGCACATAAACTCCATGAGTAAAATGGTGGCTCTCTTCACTTGGTCAGCCTCCCATTCCTGGCCCTTCACCAACACCAAAGTAGCGTGCAATTTCGGTCTAGTTTTGAATATCACTTGCACGTGGTACTTTTCCTGTATGTTGGCAATGTACGAAGTGGCGTCCACGTTTTGGGTCATTATAGGCAACTCGAAGCCGAATATCAAAGGGATTAGTTGCTGCAAAAAAATATGAATTAACGAGTTAATTACAAAATATTTAGGAGCATACTCTGACGCGACTTCTGGCGTTTTCAGCGCCGCGTATGTCCCCCGAAATCGACACCTGGTTGCTTTTGTCGATGAGACTGGAGCGATTGGAGTCGGGGAAATGCACGTGGCATTGCGTCTCCTCCATGACACGCTTGATCGTCAAACCGCCCTTGCCGATTATGTGGGAATGATCGGTGTAGCTGACGTCCATTTTCATCGTTATTCTGTTGCACTTGAACATAAAATGCGATATTAACGAGAGCGCGTTTTCAACGTGAACTCTTTACCTTGGTGTCCAATAATATTTTAACTCGATCTCTGGCTGCTTTGACGTCTTCAGGTCGACCAGCGATCCTGACGTGGGGATCTAAAAAAATATGCTTCTTACATTATATTCTACAGGATGTCCCAAAAAATGTTGGAAATCTCTCGGATCTAGATAGAACATGAAAAAATAAGATGAAAAGTTCCTATAAAGTTTTTCCCTACAGGCCCTCCTTGCGGAGATATGCGTCCCTGAAAAACGCCGCTGGAAATAGGTTTTCCCTTAAATATTTTTAAAGTACTTGATATAATTTAATAAAAATCTAATATGGTGGACACTAATAAGGACCTCATAAAATAGTGTCCTTGAAACATATTTTACACCTTAATGCCTAAATTTTCAAAATAATAATCAACAAATTCATGTTTTATTTTTACCAGAAATTGTATCACCAATTTACACAATTAACATGTATGGGCTGATGAAAAACTTTACAGGAACTTCTCTCTTATTTTTTCATGTTCTATCTGGATCCGAGAGATTTCCCACATTTTCCGGGGCACCCTGAACACTCTCGTTTTTAGAAAGAACGGTATACAGGGTGTTTTATAATGACATGTTGTTAATGAAGTAATTAATTTGACTACGAATATTAAAAAAAAAGTAAGTAACAAATAGTTAATTTTTCTAAACGAGGCAAAAACAAGTAATATGAGTTAAGCAGGTATTTCTCACTAAATAGTCAAAATCGTGAATATTTTCAAATTTATTCTATGAAAATTCGCTAAATTTTGCAATTCCCATATCAGGAGCAGTACGATTAGAGCAAAAAACTGGATGTTTACCTTTTTTCGATTTTGCACCAATTTTCAACTTATTCGGCCAAGTGATGTAAGTGTCCGTATCTTCCATGACTTTCGCAAAAAACACGTCGGCTGGTACAAGCGCGTCATTTCCACCTGAAAACCGATCATTTTTTTTCAAATTTAGCAAACCAGAACCAGCCAAAATCCAAGTTCGATCGGAACGATAACCGAACAAACACGTGTTCAATTATTTTTCAAAATTTTACCATCAATAAAAGCAACCATATCTAATTGAAACAGCTCGTTTTTTTTTAATTTTCCTACTCGAAATAGCGCAGTTTTACCTGTCAGCATTTGTTCCAGCTTCCTCCTATCGATTCGGAACCGCTCCTGGTACAAATCCGCGACATCCTTCAGTCCCAATTTGGCGAGGAACTCCTTCAGGTCCTCCTTGGTGTCCCAATTCGCCGGCCAGTCCGAGGTCACCGTGCCTTCCGATACTTCCGAAAGCGTATCGGAAGTTTTATTGTTGAAACCGAGCACCCTGTTTGGTAAATTACTGCAAGCCATTCGTCGTTTTCTCCTTCGGATTGTAATTGATTAATTAGTAATTCGCCCCGTTTCTTCTGATCGACTGTCGTCTAGTGGCTATTGAGTGCGTTTTCGACGATTTCAGTGGCTTCTAAAACGCAACTGAGGTGGCTTGTTACTCGTTTCACAGTTGTCGTTTTTGCTTTGTTTTGTTTTTCCTTATCAGTTTTTTTTGCGGGATTTCTTCGTGTCAAATGCCGAATATTTATTAATTATTAAGGCGAGGTTTACACTTGAAAAATTACTAATGTTTTAATGCGCTTAGTACATTAAAAACTTGAGATTGTTATTTGACATGAGATTCAAATGCAAATTTGTTCTCAAATATGCATACGAAAATATGAAACGAAAAAAATAGGTGTACAACTAGGAAAAGAAACTAATCTGGAATCAACAAACTTTTGTCCATCCTCGCAGTTTCAACATTAAACTCGTCCAATTCTATTATTTCATACAATTTAATGCGAAAAGTAGACTAATTAAACAAAATTTCAACCGTTACAATTACTTTATAAAACGCATAATTTTAATCCTTAAATATACCTTAATTAACATGTATTAACGATTCCTTCCCCTGCCTCTTTGGAAATTAGCCCTGCCTCTATTTCCGGAGTTCCCTTTGCCCTTGGCCGGAGGGCTTTTGGGTCGCAGGGCTTCGATCCTGTCGGAGCAACCTGTGGTTAGTGTGGTAGGAGAGAAATAACTCGCGTACAATTCAGCGTTGAAGTTTGAATTGGTTAATTCAGGTCCTATGGTTAGCCAGCCAGGTCGGATTGTGCTCTCTCTACCGAATATATGGAGTCTTCTTCTTCCTGAAATAGGCAGAAAAACGATCGTTTATCAAAAATTAATGAAGTGTGAACATTCGAAATCGTTTTACCTAAACAAAAATGCTCGATAATGTGGAATATTTCAACGGGTTTCTCCAAACTGCCGTATTCGTTCTCCTCGGAAATGATCAAATCGATGTCAACGTTAGCGTGAATAAAATCTCCATCTGTGGAACGTCTGACGGTACCTTTAATGCCCATGAGACAATGCTCTTTGGTCCGCTGGAATACCGCTTTGGGGTCGAGATTTTTAGAATGTCCAGGATTTTTGATGTTCGTCCTAATCCAGCTAATATCTTCACATCTACGAATTACCAATATTTTAATGCTTATAATTATGACATAAAAATAACAAACACACCTTCGAAAGCCCCATTTTCTCAAACATATTCTTCCCATATCCAGTCCATCGGAACTACCACACCATAAAAACACGAAACTCCTTTGGGCAGCCACTTCGCCTATGTCCAGATTCATGACCTGCTCCCAGCTCCAAAACTGCATGTTCGTTACGCCCATTGTTCTTTGATACTCTTCAAGCGGAGGCTCCACCAATATCACATCGAATTTGCAGTTCAACGTCTTTAGATCGTAGTTCATCAGATCGCATTTGAGGTACATAGGGGGAGTAGCCGTTTCTTGGATCAGCTCGTCCTTGAGTTTGATCAGCTCGCGCAGTTTGGGGTATTCTTCGAAGCGATCCGCCAAGCCTACGTCTCTGATGAAATTCTGAGGCCTTTGGCCAGTGTCGACAAAATGCTGGCAGTAATCGTTGTGTGGATTAGAAGACTGGGTGCCCTGAAAGAAAAAATAATAGTAAGTATCAAATCTTCAAAATTCATTGTTTATATATTACTTTTAGGAACAATGATGAATCTTTGTATATCAATTCGTCGGAGAAATCTGCATTTTTGTAATCATATTTTTCTTTGTCGTTGGTGTTTTCTTTGCTGGTAGCTTTCGAGTGAGATGTTTCTCCGGTTCCTAAGACAGTCCTCAATTCTTCTGCTCCGGATACTCCAAACTAAAATGAAAATTTACGATTTTTATTTTGTAAAGGCAACAATAAGGTATGTAAACAACTTACAGTTTGGGCTAACAATAATTTACGCTTTCGAGATTTTTCGCGAAGTTGCTTCAGCACATCCCCCATGTTTTAATTAATCTAAACGTACATAAACAATTCTTATAATTGCATTTATTTTCGTTTCGGTATTCATGCAAAAATTCCCAAATAAATAGTAAACTTAACCTCACTTTATCTTCGACTTTACAAACTAATGGCCTCTAACTATGCTCTACTATGAATATTTGATAAATCAATTTTTATATTCTCAAAAAAAAAGAAGAAAACCAGTGACATCACCTGTCAAAATATTTAACAAATTATTTATGTCAAAGATGAAGATGGCTGATGGTTCTACAATTTTGCGGAGAAATAGGCCCGGAACAAAAGCTAAAGTAAGATAATTTATCATAAATTAGTACCTGAATTAAAAGAGTACAGTTTTCGCGTCATAAAGTGAACAATAAATAAATTTGTTGTCTGTTCACAGGATTTCTGTCGTTGGCCAGATGAGCCCTTCGAGGAAATGGACAGTACCCTTGCGGTACAACAATATATACAGCAGCTCATCCGCCGCGATCCTAATAACATAGATTTAATATTGAAAATGCCCGAATCTCAAGATGAAGGGGTGTGGAAGTACGAGCATTTAAGGTAGTTTTGTGTTTGAACATTCTAGACTAGTTTTCTGTTAAAATATCTACAGAGAGTAACTTACTTTGCATTATTTATTAGGCAATTTTGTATGGAGCTCAACGGGCTAGCGGTGAGATTGCAAGGCGAATGCCATCCGGAGACATGTACACAAATGACTGCCACCGAGCAATGGATATTCCTTTGTGCTGCACACAAAACACCGAAAGAGTGCCCGGCAATCGATTACACAAGGCACACTCTAGACGGCGCCGCCTGTTTACTGAACAGCAATAAATATTTTCCAAGTCGGTAAGTTGATTTCTATACAACTTAAACGATTTGAAGCTATATAACTTGTAATTTACAGCGTTAGTATTAAAGAATCATCAGTAGCGAAGCTAGGATCAGTATGCAGAAGGGTGTATCGAATTTTCTCCCATGCTTACTTTCATCATAGATCGATTTTCGACGAGTTCGAAACTGAGACGTGCTTGTGCAAACGATTCACTCAGTTTGTTACTAAGTATAATTTGATGTCGAAGGATAATCTTATTGTACCAATCTTGGAAGAGGAAAACACTCCCGGCGAATCAGAAGCGTAATTTCTTTGAAGTGTATCTCTATTATAAAATACTCGTTTTTATATATTTTTTTCTTGAACAAAATCAGATGATTTGTAATAATTATTTACATAAACATTATGATACACTATACAGGGTGAGTCGTAAGTTGTGTACAATATTATACGTTGAATATGGGACAGTAAATCTAAAATTTCGAAAATTATAAATTTTTGGATTATGTATCTTGCGTTAACATGATCTGAAAAATTTAACACAACCTATTGTATCTATAGTTTGTCCTGTATATAGTAATGAAAGCGAATTTCGGTATTTCCTATGTCTACATGAAAACAATTAAATGTATAGAAAAGGTAGTAAATATAGAAATATTGTGATTGTAAGAATATTGACCACAATTTAGTGGTTTGTTCGTGTAATTTTACTAGTTACTAATGAAATGTATAAGATTTCATATGGCTTTGTTTAGATTATCCATATTTTGATTAATGAAAACGCTTGTTTATAAATCATAGAAGCGGTAGATAAATAATTAAGAAAATTTCAGAACGTATTTTTCTATTTCACGTACTTTTATTATTTTCTATCCTCAACTTAGCATTATAAGCAATATTCATTGTTCATTTCAACTAGTTTTTATTTAATATGTATTGTATTTAATACTTGCTCAGGTTGTTCATAATCAGGATTGTTATTGGAATAAGGCTACCTATTATGAAACGATATAAATAACACAAGAATACCTTATAGTAACATTAGAATGTACATAAAATAATTGTTTATTAATCTGATTACATTCTAGTATTATTGGTAGTTATTCGAAACATCTGTTGGTTCTAAGGCTGTATTGACCTTAAATTATTATATTTGAAGAACTATTCTCGGTGTTTTAGAAAATCGATCCAGTGACATGTATTTGTAATTTTCCAATTTTCCAATTTTCTACGCAAGGTCTATTTCTTTAGTTACATTTTTATTTATCTGAATTTCGAATTAGTGTCGTTTACAAAATGTAAAATCAGAATTGTCCAATAAATTAGTATTAAGTAGTCTTACCTCTTTGCTAACTTATTTACTCCAAAATTATCTACGTTTGATTTTGAATTCAGTACAAGATATGTGAGTGATAAGCCCTAAATAAATCCTTTTCCTGTAAAGAAAATGTAGATACAATTAGTACAATTTTATAATAGATCTTTTAATAACCTAAAATGTGTAGCTAAATTTACAATGATTTATCACCGAATTCACGAGTTTTCCAGGCCTCTTTTAAAGTTTTTAGCTTCTCTCGCTTTTTCTCTCTATTTTGGCTCTTTTTATCATCTTTTGACTCTAGTTGAGATTGTATGCTATTCTCTCTATTTATGAAATTATCTACTTTTGTAAGTAACAGCTCCCTGGCTATTTTCTTATTTTGTTCAAGGTACCTAGTTTCCTGGCATTTAACAACAATACCTTAAAAAAAGAAATAAAATTGAATTACTCGAGTATCCCAAGACAAATTTAAAATATGCATATACTTTAGGAGCAACTAAATGTTGTAATTAGAACTCTATTACTGTATCGATAAGTACGTAATTTCTCTATATAACAATAGTTTAAGTTCATGGGAAATGTAGATTAAAATACCTGTAGGAAGATGCTTTAAAACCACGCAACTGGACGTTTTATTAACTTTTTGACCTCCTGGGCCGCTACCCTTGACGTGCATTTCCTCGACATCCTTCTCCAACAGAACCGGAACTTTGGAATAGTCTATAGTATGCTTCAGTCTTAAGATGTTAAACGGTACCCGAACAAACCTTCTACACAGAATCATTACTTCACTGCTCTTCTGAGCAACAACGTAACTCCTTTCTAAAATAAATAATTATGAAGAGAAGCCCTACTTGAACTATACAAATTAGTAATTACCTTGTAATTGTGGTCGATCGAGTCGACTTCTTCGAGGTTCTTGTTTTTCTTAAACTCGCCTTTGATGCGAGACGTAAAGTAATTTTTATCGGTCAATGTTAATTCTTCGCCGTATCGTAATAGTTCTTTGTACAGCTTTAACACTTGAAGTCGACTTATTTGGCTCATAATTCTAATTCAAAAACCATCTATTTGAATTTTTCCTAAGGTTATGTTCTTCTGTTTATTTTGAATAGAAAAATTTGGTCTCTTACATTAGGAATTACAGCCCACTCAGGCTCTAATAGGTGTATTAGCCAAAATAAAAGCTACTTGCTTTCTCTTTGATTTTAAAATTACCCTTCAAGATTACAATGATAATTTGAGTTATAAATGATGGCAAAATTGTCCAAAGATAATCTACTTTTTTCTCTCCATAAATACGTCATTTATAGATCACAGAACATACACAATAACGGCAGTTCTTATTCTATTGTTCCATGTCACGCGATATATTTAAATTATTTTATCTCTAACTTTTTATATTGTTATATCACTACATATTATATTTATTGCATCTCTGTTTTCCAATACCTATTAGTTCCTTAGCCTTTGGAAGGGGGATTGGTCATCAAATAAATCTATAAAACGACCTTCAGTTTTCGCTTTTCTTAAGAAAAAAAAATACTTATAAAATACCTCACTCATTAGTCGAGTAACATTTTGCAACAGAGGGTCGGTTAATTTCGAGCGTGCCGTCTAAATTATTGCGCATTATATTCGGTGCGGGCGCTCGCCTCGTCTGCACACAATCGCCCATTACCGTAATTTCTTTTTTCGCGGTCGGCGGCGCGATAGTCGTCACCGACGTTCCACTAATCATCCTCGTCGACCCTAATTACCCTATCTTTCGCATAAATAAGTCACCCCCTATCGCGGGACGCCGGCTCTGATATAATTGATACATTCCAAATGGAATGCAGAGGAAGAGCGCCGAGCGTCAGTGCTCCTCTCACCGGCAGGATGTCAATTCTCAACGAGAGCGCTCACGGGGTTTCAGGTACGTCATATTTCATTTACGACATTTTCTATTCAGGCACTCTTGATTTGCCGAGGGATTATTTTTTTTCTTGATTTTTTTGAGTTACTTATGAAATTATTAACCCTGTATGTATATTAAAAGTTATAATTCCCATATAAAAACTGTATTAGGTTGAATGTACTGATAAAAACCAGGTACTATACAGGTTGATTCATTTTGGTTTGCAATATACGTTATAAAGGCTATGGGTTCGACCCATAGCGATCGATAAGGACAACTTCCATTAGACACTTGAGTACCACTTGAGACCACTTGAGACCATTGAGTACCGACGCCGACCTTATGAATATGTATAACGTATTTTAAGTTGAGCACAAGGTATTAAGAGGAAAAGGAAAAAATACGTCTCCATATCAACTAGAATTTTATTTAAATTTTATAAACAAAATATTTGTTTAAATGCCTCTTTTAAAAAAAAATTAAAATGCATTTAAAACTACAAAAATCTCACTTGTTTTCATATTTCTCTAACAGAACACCCGCAAATAAATTCATTTGTAGGTTATGGGTAAAAACCAGTAAAAAACATAGTAAAAAAACACGCTTTTACTTTAAATAAACTGCTCCACAAAAGTTAAGGAAATTCGCAAATATCGCGATTATTTTAAAAATTACAAACTTTTTGATCACCGAATTTTCAAATATGCGAAATTAAAAGGTTTTCTCTCATATCTGAGTGGATTTTTTGCCCCTACCTATACAATTCATACTAATGGGTCGATTCTGAGAACATCTGTAAGACCTATAAGCCAAAATCTGTAAGAGTTACAGGAAATGCAATTCTATCCTCATCTGTTACTTACAGATTCGCTTACAGATTCGTAAATATTTACAGGCTAGACATCCGTCACTGTAAGCGATACAGAGTCTGGTAGAGAGCATTAAAAGCATTATTTCTCGTGTTTTATTGTGTGAACCTTACGAGTGTTTAAGGCTGGGATTTCCATATACTAAAATCCCTATGCTGACACTCGATTTCTTAAAGTCATTTTAGACGTATATGTCCATAAAATTAAAATTTTGTTTGCAAATTATCGTTCATTAAAGATGAATGAATGCAGTAAAGTAAAAAATGAAACGCATGAATAGTGTTTTGAATGAATTGTGTTGCCTTAATTTCAGTATTTTTCTATCGTACTGGCATCATTGCATTTTCGAAAATCGTGCTTAATTTGGACACTGCAATAGATATGTCGCTTTGCAGATATCTGTACAACTCATAATGATGATAGAAAACTCATTAGAGATTACAGTTGAGCGCAACCGAATTTCGCGTCATTTTTAAATAAGTCAGCATCAGAAGAATTGTTTGTAGTGTTTGTTTCCTAAGACTGTTTAAATTATTATAATAGTGTAGTTTCGTGTAGTTTTAAGTGTTCATCCTACGAGTATTCCAGCAAGTTCATATTTTTTTAAAAAGTAAGTAGTATTACGATATAAATTTTTACAGTTTTTTTGTTTCTTTCTCTTATATTTGTTTAATTATTATTAATTTATTAATTTGTAAATTTATTAATATTTTAATTATTTATTAGATATGCCGAAATTTAGGAGTCAATTGGGTAAAAAACGCTCAAAAAAATCCAGGTCCAATACAATTTGGCAGCGAGCTAGGTTGACGAAAGGCATTGTACATCAATTACTAGATGAAATTATTGGGAAAATTGAGAAGCAAGAAGCTACAACAACGACTTGCAAGAAAATTGTAGAAGATGTTGTTTCAAAAGTTTTTGAAACTGGCCAACTGCAGCAATGTAATGTACGTCAACTCGCTTCCGAAACTAGTAAATGTGAAGAAAAGGGTGAGAGTTGCTACGATTTTTTCAGCCAAGAAAATTACGATGAATTCGAGAGGTAAGACCACTAACTAAATTTTAATGTATGCATATTTAAATAACCAACCAGTGATGTTAAAATTACTTTATATAATATACAATTAATTACAATTACTTTTGGCAAATGTAATTAATTAAAATTACAAAATTTGCGATTATAAATACAATTACTCGCTGTGGTGTAATTTTAAATATGCAATGTTTTGAAAATGATGGTAACAACACTCCTTTTGAAAAAAAAATTGGACTATGGAAGAACAACCATGCAGAAATTAGCCTCTGTTGTTGTATATTTAATATTTAGATGGTTTTATGAGAATAGGGAAAAACCAATCACTCGTGGGTTTATACTTTACTTTTAGAAATTTGATTATCCTTTTCCTGGAAAAAAGAAAATAATACAATAAATAATCGTAATAATCGAAGCAGGTACCCCGACTACCTGCCTAGAGATTTGCAATCGGAATTAAACTTTCCACGTATTGAAAATATTAACAGAACTTTTGTATCGAATGTAATTAAAATGTAATTTTAATGTTATTATAATTGTAATGAAAAGATGGTTAATTCGAACAGATTGACATTAGCTTCCAGATATTAAGTCATTACTATTTTCAGAATCAATGCACATCAGTTGAACATAGAGTATGAGAAACCGGAACCAATATTATCAGGGTGCCGCGTTGTAGAAATTGATTATTTTTTGAACAAAATAATCAATATACAAATAATTCACAACAGAAAATGTTCTTTTGGTAAACTTCAAGTTCATCAAGAAAAAAGACAGGGTTTAAAAAGTACTTTTATTTTGAAATGCTTGGAATGCAATAAAGAGCTGTCAGTAACAAACGAGGATCCTGCAAAAAAAATTTCGGCTATGAACAGGGCTATGGTGTGGGGTACTTTATCGACGGGAAGTACATTCACACATACAACGGAGTTGCTAAGCGTAATGGATATACCATCATTATCTAGCAAATTGTTCTACAAAACGCAACGAAATTTAAGCGAGGTATGTAAATATGTCAAAATATCAACGGCAAACAAGATGAACAATTTTACTTTTGTAGGTTTGGAAAAATACTTTATGGAATATAATGAAAGAGGCGGCAGAAGAAGAATTCGAATTAGCGAAGAAAAGCAACAATATTGACGAAAATGGCTCGGGTTGTATAACAGTCTGTGTGGACGGTGGATGGTCCAAGAGGAGTTACGGTCACACGTATTCTGCAAATTCGGGGGCTGTAAGTTTCTATTGAGAAGAAAATGCACTGTATATTTTATTAAAATATTTTTAGCATTCTTAGTATATTCATTTTTTATTTAGTATTTAGTAGTTTGTTTTCAAATAACAAATTTGTTTTAGGTTGAGAAAATAGAGTGCATGAATCATGCACTCAAAAACTATGGAAAGAGGTTACACAAGTTGAAACAGGACACCAAACGCGTTTCCCTTGAAGCTAGGAAGATATTGACGTCTTCAAACATTGAAAAACTGCAGAAAGCGGTTATGTCGGCTGTAAATGGAAACAACGACGTTGAAAATTTGAAAAGAGACCTGAGAAAAACTGTCGACCACGTCTTTGGGAATCATTTCTCATGTCCTTCAAATATATGCGATCGCATTGGTGACGTCTCTAATGACATAACTAGTAAGTTAGTTTCATCAGGGGCGCACCACCACATATACGCCGCGCTGACTCCACTGATTATCAAAGCCCCAATGCTAATTGATCGTGAAACCAATAATCGAGCAGAATTATTTATGTCGCTGATGGCGCGTTTCAACATGGGCAAACGGCTTAATTTAATTCAGCGAGATTCGTTCCAAATGCGGTCAATCTTAACGGGGCTGAAATATAATGAGGGACATGCTTGGCACAGGAAATCGTGGAGTGAAGTTTTCCATGAAGATGTGCCAACACACATGAGTCGTTTCATTGCGTAACAAGAGAAGAAAGCGGCAAGGAGAGTTGTTTATAAAAAAAAAGAGACTGAGAACAATTCAGGAGACACACAAAAATTACAGTCCTGATGTATCAGAAGTTTTTATGTCTGATGAAGATTTAAAAATCGAAGTTGAAAACTTATGTGAACGTTTACAGGTAAAATTCACATTTATAAAAATTTCTCTATTTTCAGGCAAACTAAGTCAAATTTGCTTGCCTGGAATTCTAGATTCTGGTACCAGCTCTACCTATACACATACGCACATGCTATGTATTTTTTAAAACGCTATGATAATTATGTAATTTGTAGGTGACATCAGACGAGCAT